TGTGTGTGTGTGTGTGTGTGTGTCCGTGTTTGTGTGTGTGTGTGTGTGTGTGTGTCTGTGTGTGTGTGTGTGTGTCTGTCTGTGTGTGTGTGTGTGTCAAGCTCGTGCACATTCCACTCATTCCACTGCGCCTGCGATTTGGCATCATTGCACAGGAAGGCCGTCGCAATTCGCAACAGCCGACCGCACCTGCATCAGCCAAACAATGCAGCTGGCGTGCACAATGCAACCATTCCCCTTCGCCCATGCAAGGAATCGTTACAAACATACATGAAATGCGCATGATTGAGTTGCAAGCCCGACAAATATTGAAGGATTGTTGAAACATTGAAAAGCGGAAGCAAGTCCTTTCTCTCGACCTCTCACCTCTAGACATTTTGCCGAACGCACATGGCCTCCAATGCTCGATTGCAAGGGGTTCTCGAGGAAACTCGATATCAGATCTGTCACCAAGCTCGAAGTAGAAGTAGTAATACCTGACACATCTGACAGAGATCTGCTGAATCAAATGGCAGGAACTCACCATGATTGTTCAACCTTCGACTATCAGCTTCTCTCCGTTCACGCGCTAAGCTGAGCTGATGTCCAAGACAGCCAGTAAAAACACTCCTGTCATTGTTGGGACCCAGTTGCTCAGTTCTGAGCGACTTCCATGTAGCGATGATGGGTAACATCCCTTTGGGCGCCGCCGCCGTAGTGGTAACCTCCCACTGTGTGTGAAACAGCTGAACAATGGCCTTCGGCAATCTTCCAGCCACACTGACAAACGTTTGCGACAAAGTGGCATCAGTGCTTGCTGGCAACGCATCGCTCTTAAGCATGGATGCCTCAGATGTGATGCAAGCAATGCTTTTCCCGGCCATCTGGCACGTGACGCCACATCGTCAGGGATTGCCGGCATCTCCACTCCAGCAATCCGAACCAAGAATTTCGGGGGTCTGCATGAGGCATGCTGCAAACGAATGCAAGGTCTCAAGTGCGACATCCCGAAGCACAGCAACAGGATGGTTACTTTCCGGTACATTTAAAATCCGCAACATGGCAGGAAACAAGAACACCCACCTTGCTGCTGTGACATGCGGCAGCATCTGCTGCCGACATAAGCCCAGCCACACGTCCCCAAAGAGGTGACAGCTTATCCTGCACTTCGGTGTTTGCAAACCTGCATGGTCTGGCCAGGGCAGGAGATGCTACTTTGTCTGATGATGGAAGCACCAGTCTTTCTTGTCAAGCCCCCCTGCAGACTGCATACACCTCTACCCCCCCTCCACAGATTGAAAGACAAACATAGCAAGAGATATACCAAGTATGCGACGCAATGAGCACATGTCTTTGCGGGTGCCAAACCAAGACAACCCGTATCAAGCCAAGAAGGCACCTGGCCATAATCATTGCCTTGGGCCATGAATGCAAAGAATGAGGTCATTGCCTACACAGCTTGGCTTTGAGGCGCACGCGAACATGTCTCGCTGATCTGGTGACCGAATTTGTCCTGCCACGAGGACAACATTGCCAGCACAACTTATGAGCCATCCAATCATCCAACAGACACTCCTTGGAAGCTTTTGAGGTCGGTGATCAAAATCCGCTGCATTTCGCGGTCTGCCGGGTGAGTTTGCTCTTGAAGCTGGGTTGGCCAATCGTCCCCCACGACCTAGCCAGAGAAGCTGCGAGCAGCAAGATTCATTGAGGAAACAAGCCAGCCACGTCACGATGTTCACTCCGGCTGTGAGGGTGATTTAGCGTAACACTGAAAGTCTTTGGGAGGCGCCATGAGGCACCTCGGCTGGTACGTCCTCCTCGTCTCCGCAGGCTTGTTGGACATGTGCGCGTCTGCACACCATGGGCCTTTACGGAAGCCCGCTTCCAACTAAACTAGGAGTAACATGCTGTCTTTCCCTATGAATAACGAACGCACGTTATCGTGGGGATCCCAAGCTTTGACTAGGTACGACATCCCAGAATCTCCATCAACTCGTCAGCTTCCTTACACTGTCCTGACGGAGGTTTGACAGGGGGGGTAGCCCTATATGGTACTTCATGATCGTAGTCTTTGCGGAACACATATGACTTAGACTTTACTCACGTTTTTTGTTATCTTTTCCGGGGGGGTCAGCATACATATATGTATGTATGTAGACTTATGTATATGAAAGCATCAGTCCAGCTTAAATACCATGGAGCCTGCTGTGGAGCACCTCCTCTGCACATGGATCCGCCAACGTGACAACGTCCACCGGTTTCGAAAAAACCGTCGCGACAGGGATCAGCTTGTCTGCTGGCACTTCATCCTTCGCGACTACCTTCAGCAGGATCCATTCAAGCCGAACAAGCTCCAGCTGCAAAAACACAACTATGAGTAGAACGCCAAAGTGGCCGAATCGACGTTGCTGCAGCAGGCCAGACAATGAAAATCCAGGAACGCATCGAAGGCCATTCGCATCCAGGAAGGCTAGGCTGGCAACGTGCCCTTACATGCTCATGTCTGCGACCTAGAGACCTAGAAACACTGGTGACCGGACTGCTGGCCTCCTGCACATCCGCACTTCTGTGCTGCGTGTACCAGAACGCGAACTCTTGCAACTCTTGAAATTAATCTCATGCTAGAACCCGAAAAGTGGTCGATTCTTACTGTGGCCTGGTCACGGCCTAGCACTGTCTTCCCGCCTCCGTGCAACACGCAGCCCACTAAACATTTGACTCCTGAGGAGGTCCTTTTGGGGCTCCTTTCTACGAACAACGATAACCATGTCTGCTTTCAACAGGATCTCGCGCTTCCATCTCTTGGGTTCCGGCTGGGAACACCTGTGTACTTTCTCTTGGCCACTGAGGGTATATCGTCGGAGCCCGTCAATTTTCTTGGCGCCGACACACTCCGACAAGCAAGGAAGATCAAGGAATGCCAAACCTTGGGTCCCGGCTCTATCCGGGATGTTGACGTCGTCCCCACTGCCACCCAGAACGATAGGTGGAGGACCTGTCTGTCAAGTGGCACTTAATTCTGGGGCGAAGCAACCGTGGCGACCTCATGTGCGAAAATGCCGCAAGGCTGCCCGTCCTGTGATGATGTCTTGCGCCGGGACGGACTGCACTTGACTGGTGCGAGCTGCATCAGCGGATCAACTTCCGTCTCTTTGGTAAGATCTACTCGCACTTCCCCATCAGGCCCGTCAGGCATAAAGAAGGTCTCCTGAAAACGTCCATTGGCTAGGATTTCAAGGGCACGTATTGCTAAGGACTACTGCCGGGGATCAGTCCTGAGGCATGCTTGGGGATTTAGGTTGAAATCTTGCCGAGTAGCTGCCTGGGGAAGCTGGGATGTTGGGAAGTGCGTGATGTGTGAGCTACTCATCTTAGTGATTCGTGTGTTGGCCGACTGTGATGATACAAACGTTGTGGTAATCGTGTGCTACAATTTTCTTGATCTGCATGGTGCTGGTCCAGCAAAGAACTTCTCTTGCTAAGAGCCCAAAGAGTCCCAGAGGCAACGTGACTTTGCAACAGCTGATGCGTCACCCAAGGGGCCCTCTAGATAGGGTCAGACAGTGTCAGGCTCAATTGGGTTAACGAACCATGTGCATCAGAGCAAATCGGCTTTGTTTTTGCAGCTTGGCATCGACAACACGTTCCCCATAGATGGGTTTCTGCATATGACTCGACGTGCAAGACACGTGCCTGGCACAGCATGTAAGGCGTGCAGCAATGGAGTTGAATAAAAGCTATGATCGAATTCGCAGCTGTGCTGCAGCGACCACTCAGTGACCACTCATCCCGGATTCACCCAAAGTGCCAACTTCTACCACTCAGACTCACTCGCTTTTTACAGGTTTCAGGGAGCCTCTTCGAAGCTTGTAAAGATTTGTCAGGTCCAGCCAGCCTCCTTTCTGACCAGGAAGGCTTGAAATCAAGTTTGACCTCATAGTGGGAATGAGAAACTAACCTAGGGATCTGGATCCATTTACGGCCAGCAACACTCTAGAGTCTAGACTCTAGAACATGTTTAGGTGCCGAAGGATTTGGGATTGAACTCTGGGCAGAAGGTCCAGGGTTGTGAGATTTTGCACGGCTTGCGGTCTCCGGGCTCTGGCTCACCAAGAGGAGGGTGAGCCTGCCATGTGAAGGAGGGCAGCGTGCATGCGCTTTGAAAGTCCACACCCGAAGGCCTAGAAACTTCAGCGGTGTTCCCCAGATCACCAGCACCCGTCCTGTCACGGCTGCACGGTTCGAGCAGTTGGCTTGCTTGTGGCCAGAACGTGACTACGGCGGGCCCCCCCCTTGGCGCAACGCTTCCTGCGCCGCGCGAAGACTGGAACACTGGCCGAGCTGCCTCGCGGTGTGATTGAAACTGCCCGTGCCCAACAACCTGCTGGAAGCCCTGCAGCCCCAAATCTTCCAAGCACGATCTCGCACCTTTAGTCTGACTACAGAGCTGAGGCTGAAGCTCAAAAGCTTTGATAGTGAGAGTGGACTGAGGTCCCCTACAAAGGGGACGTAGGGCTCACTAGGATGTAAAGCTGCAGAAGGTATCGCGATGCCTGGAGCCTCCAACCAAATTCTTAACGCAGTTCGTGCATACATACGAACATATAGGGGCTTAGGGGTTTTCGGTCTTGTGCTTCTTCAGGAAGAGAAAGCACAAAGTGTCAAAGAGGGTTTAGGGTTTGGGAGTCTGGGAGCTTAGGGTTTAGCCCCCGCACCCTGGGGGCGTAGGCTGCAGGAAGAGGAAACACAGAGCCCCAGGAGGAAGCCACTGTTTGGGGTGTTGGTTAGCCCTCGGACTTGGCAGCTTTGGGGTTTAGTTTGCAACCTAGGATTTGGGCTTTGGATGTTTTGGGGATTTCAATTCAAAATTCGGGCTTTAGGTCCTAAGTGACCGTGGCCGCTAGCAAATCATTGTGCTCTACTTACCCTGTTTGCTTGGCTGCTGTCGCGGATTTATGCAGCTTCACTTGGCTGATGACATGGCACGTACCAAAATCATCAATCTGCGGCCCAGGCGGCTTCATGACCAACAGCATGTGAGTTTTCAACTGCGCAGCAAGGCTACATGGCGTGAGGCGGTGACGTCGTTGCTCAGCCATCACTGGCTATGGGAGAAACTGATCCAGTCAAAGTCTGAGCCTCGGGCAGCATCTTCGAAAACCAAGATGTCACCGGCCATGAGCTGCATGCTGGCTCTGGACCTAGCACTGAAAGGATGAAGACCTCACAAACGAACAAAGTCTGAGGCCCGCGGCATGCTGCGGCCCGTTGGGCTCCAAGTCGTTGCACCTGGCGGCATGGCTCAAGGTTCAGCCCGCGCCCTTGGCGAGCGTCGCTTCGGTAATTGCGGCATGTCTTTGAGGAGAATGCGGCTCGGGGTTGATCTCGCCGAATGCACCCGATTGCGCAGACGTAAAACTTGTGAGGTGGGTCAGAACAGGGTTCTGCAAAAAAAAGTCTTGCCCGCAAATACTATCTGGAGCCTGGGGCCCAATGAGGGGCTTGATGGTATGTGCAGTTGTAAGGGTTGCGTGTTGTCGTCCAGGAAGTAGTATCCCTACCAACGGGTCGCCTAATTGATCAAAGAAGGTCGACAGTTTACCACCCACGATCCCGGTAACCGTGAGGAAGAACTCCAGGTCTAGAATCTAGAGGGGTGGACTTTCACGAAAGCGAGGTGCCTACCGGTCTCCCGTTGAAATAGTTCACCTGGTTTCGCAAAGCCCGAGGTACTCAACCTACACCCTCGCAAAATGAACCCCTGCATATTTGTTTGACGCGCTAAACAAAACTCAATGATGTCAATGATGTCCGGTGAACTAGGGACAGCGTATCTGAGTAAAGAAGAGCTGCCTATCTCGTGGGGGTAGGAGCGGCAGACACTCGGCCTGGATGGAAATCTAGTTCGGGGAGTGAGGTGCGAGGCGTGGTGTGGGGTGGTGTGGGGTGGTGTGGGGTGGTGTGGGGTGGTTTGGGGTGGTTTGGGGTGGGGTGGGGTGGTGTGGGGTGAGTCAGACGGGCTGCAAAGGAGCAAAGGCTGACGTTTCAACTCTCGAATTCCCTCTACTTACTTATCGCCCCATCATTCAATCATTCTGTAACAGTCGGGTTGGGGCTCCATGGCGGAATGCAAGGAAGGAAGGTCGACGCCTACGCTGTGACAAGCTCTGTGTGTGTGTTTATCCTCCCTGGTCCAGGGTCCCCTATCCAGTCCTGCATCAAAAGTCTCAGCAGAGCTTAAAGCGGTGTCACGTGCGGTTTGTGATGCTGTATGGTGTGGAGCATGCGTCGCCACTTTTCCAGCCAACCGCTGGCACGAAAAGCTAGAGATCCCTGTTCGGCTTGTGACCGTCTTGGTCGATGAGGAATTTTGAGTCGAACATGTCGCGCTTGGCGTCAGGGGACCGGTAAATGTCTTCGGCTTGTAGACGCGGGCGCAATCCTCGAACGCGGTCGATGGCCTCAGAGCCACTGCTTTTGCCAGGATTGAGAATTTCATGCGCTTGCCGGGGCTTCCTCGTGGCTCAAGCGCCAGGATACCGGTAAACGCAGATACTCGGCCCAACCATCAAAGTGAGAGCATGTCTCGCGGTAGTGGTACGCATACCCGAATATATCATATGCCTTGAGCTTCCGCTTTTTCAGCCACCTGGTGTTCTGCATCAGTTGCTCGAGGGAATAATCACAGCCATCACGTCGGGTTACAAATGCCAGCTTCCTTGCCATCCAGGAAGGCCTGCAAAGGTCAATCTCAGGGGAAAGTGTGTTGACGCGAAAGAGGGGCGTGGGGCGGACGAATGAAAAAAAAAACTTTCAGGGCATATCACGCAACCTCTCCAAGAGTGAGAGCTCTTTGAAGGTCTGCGTCGCCGAGGCTGCTGCAATGCTTGTCACTCGAAGCCGCGCAAAATCTTGAACCTGAGGCACGGGTTCCGCAGCGCTCTAATTAGACCCTAGAGCCATGGGCAGAAGCGAATCCGGAAATCGCGTCAGGCAGCGGGAAGCAGAGCTTGTGCTAGCACGAGAACTGGAAAGGTCGGCATAGTTGTCATGGTCCGACCATGAGGCACGTCGACATCAGGCCTCCATCTCATCAGCTTGCGAGCAATGGGGAGTACGTTGGGCTTCGGCATAGCTAAGGCAGCTATAGTAACTCCAAGGCATCATCAAAACGAGAAGAGTAGAAAGTGCAGGTGAGCGGGTGGGGTAGTGCGGAGATTGCATGAATTTAGACAAGGCTCTCTGGGTCACGTGGTGATCGTGGCGTCTGATCAGGAACCTCGCCTGTCTCCACATAGTCCCAGTCATTCACACTCCGTAGTCTTGCATCGGCCTCTGATCCGCCGAGGATGCCTCCTGACAGGGCGGGACTAGCTAGAATGCCGTTGCAGGACCAATAAGGGAGTTGCACGCGTGTTGGAAAGCTGCTTTGGCAAGTACATCTCCTGCGCAGCATGAAATCCAGGCGTCCATTGAAAAGCACAAATTCACTTCCCCCTCGCGGGAAAGAATCCTACCAAGCAACTGGCCAACAAAATCTTTAAGCCTCTGAAAGTTCTTCGGAACACGTGGAGGCTAACAATGACTGGGCTTGGGAACGCTTGCATTTTGGCTGAATGAGTTGAGCCATTTGAGCAAGAAAACGGCCAACTGGATGGGTCGTGTCTGAATGGCTGCAGACACTGCGGCTTACGAGTTTGAACAAGTTTTTTGATAAAAGTTTGAACATTCAACACAATGTTCTATGTTGGCGACCTTTGAAGCGGCCTAGAATGTCTGTAAATTGACGTAACCTCTTAGGCGGGCTGATCAATACCATAGAAAAAGCTGGAGGGTAAGATCAATCTGTCTTGCAAGCTGGACTGGCAACAGTCATCACTGTGGCTTCCTTCTGAGGACGAACTCGCAAGCCCACCATGCCACTCTGATGCTCTAATGGTTGTTTGGATGCTGCTGTAGATCTGGGAAGAGCACAAGGGTACGGGCTAGTTAGCGGCTAGCCACTAGTCGCGTGGACAATAACTCTTCGCCTTTCCCATGTTGCACTTGGAACGTCACTGACTTGCCGTGTGTCATGGATTGTGTTGCACCGGCCCGAGACTCCTGGGCAACAAATTCAAGTGCCCGAATCTGCTTCTTGCAACTGGTGACTGCAAGTCCAAATCCATTCCACATCATCACTTGCTTGCCAGAGTCTCCTGCACTAGCCTTAGCGTTGGTGCGGAAATAACGAGGATCATCGAACTTGCTGCTGCGTAGAGCCTTCATGGACTCTAGGGCTTGCCTGGATGTCTATGCAGCTCGCATTTCAATGCCATTCCATCAGCTAGCGCCCGCATCTGGGTCTCAGCCAGCCGCAGGTGAATCTGGGTTCATGGGCTTTTCATGGGCAATCACGACATTGCCGAGAACCGGTTTCAATAGTCTCAACAGGTCCAGAACGGCATCACGGTTTCAAAAGAAAGCAGTCAACATCGTTTTGGAAACCGTTCTCAGCTACCTTGTACAAAATTGTGTGTCCTGCAAAGATCATTCTCAACACATTAAGAAATTCGCAGACGGGAGATTCTGAGTTCCCACCCTATTGCCAACAGCCTGATCTCGGCTCGGCCAGCGAACTGCACAGCATCCCCTTACGCGCCTTATCTGAGACGGGCGCTCACAACTCACAGCATGTTTGCGCGGCCGGGTTGCGCAGAGCAGCACTTGATGCCGGCACAAGAATCCCACTTCCGAGCAATGCCCAGCCCTCACGGGCCGGGTGTCACTAACTGCCAATAACTGCCAGAACGGGGGATCAGGAACATAAGAGGATGCATCCAGAAGAAACCAAAAAAACCATGGAAAACAGACAGAGTTGTGTGCATGCGTGTTTGTGTGTACATATGTAAATAAATAAACAAAAAGATGAATATAAATATAAATATAGATATAAATATAAATATAGATATAAATATACTAGAAACCGAAATACAAATATAAATATAAATATAGAAATAGAAACAGAAACTCCAATAGAAATAGAAATAGACATAGAAATAGAAATAGAAATAGAAGTATAAATAGAAGTATAAATATAAAACACATAAAAATATTTTTGTAATTTATATAATTTTCTATATATATATATATGTATCTACATACGCACACACACACACATATATATATATAGATATATATATATATGTACCCGCCCAAAGATCTACCATTTTGACGGTTTTTCCTAGAATTTCGGTATACATCGCCGGAATTCCTGGAATTCCATAGGATTTCGTAGTATGTGAGCCAGCATGAGTGCATGTGCAACTGCAGCTCAGTAGCACTTTCCTGTGCAGGTTCAGTTTTGTAATTCGTTTCAATGCCAACAATTTTGGCTCAAGTATGGAGCTAGACTTGTGCCTTTGCACACGGTAGTTTCGTGCAGTAGCTCTTAGGTTGCTGCGCGGTCCGACCGGACGCCATGCCGTAGGTCACCAAGAGAGCTGGTGAACTTGCGAAGTCAAAAGCAGCGTGACCGCCTGTGTTCGCATTGGTTTAGTGCAAGACCAGGTTGGTCGACTTCACAATTGGGGGCTGTTCTGGGAAATTGTTCAGCGCTTGTGCCTACCCCCCGCTGCGGGGCAAGCATTGCTTGTCCGCCCGTTCCTGTCTAGCAGGTGTTCGTCCAGAGGTTTGGCTCGCCGTATGACGTGGCGAGCACAACAGATAGCATGAGGCACGATTGAGCAGTTGAAGGATCCCTTGCCCGCAAAAAACCTCCAAAACCACCACTGCCTGCAATCATGATGATAACCTAAACATTCAGGATGCTAGCTGCAATCCGTTCAATATTGTTCCGGCCGTGGAATTTGATCCACTCCAAGGGCTCATCCACCTGCAAGCTACTGGAAAGTGATGATCCAGAACTTATATAAGGCCCAAGCATGATGTTCGCGCTCCGGGTCGTAGCACCTGGAGCCAGTCTAGAGAAGTCTAGAGTCTGGAACCTGGACAGCGACTTCCGAAGATGCAAAGATTGACAAACTGCACAAGTTTCCAATGAACGCGGGTGTTGCACCGCAACCATCCTGACCCCATTAGACAAAGTGGGATACTCGTCTCCCCCCCCCTTTGCCACATTATTTGCAGCAGATACAGTGAAGAGAACGAGGATCCTCCGAGGGGGACGCCCTTCCGTTACGACCACGAGTCATGTGTTCCAGGATGTTTTGCATTGCGAAGGAGACGCTTGGGCGGCTTTGGACCCTGAAAGCCACCTCTGGCAAGTGAAAGGCCATGACGCACTGCAAAACGGAAACCCTCTAGGTCTCAGTACTTCAGCTTCATAGATTTTGATGTGGCAAGACTGACTGTGCACAACTGCAATGCCAAGCACAACAGAGACCTCAACTCCAAAGTTGCAGGGTTCACAACGTCACATAATTGCAAGTCCTTTGACTAAACCTGGGAGTGCCGAAGTGTGTTTTCAACATAGCCTGATTTCAAAAAGCCTCAAACACTGGCAAGGTCTTGTTCGCATGCAATCGGATTCCGACAAACCTGTGGCCCTTAAAGGCCTGTCCGACGCCGAGTTGCCATGTGAAACACTGCACATCCTGCTGGCTAAAGCTGGCTACAAAACACTATTGTTTCATCCAATTGTCGGGCAAAGGTGGTGAAAGGGGCTACACTCCAATATGATTGCGGTCTAGGTGCCAGAAGGACGACAGGAGCTGCGCTTCTGAAGTCGGATGCGCAAATTGCCAGTCGCTGCAGAGTTTCTTCTTTTGCCCTCTAAGCCCAAAATCACATTCCCTGTCAGGACTCCCGCAGAATTGGCAATTTTGCAGTCGAAACGTGTCGTCTGCTTGCACGATCCTGTCCCAGGTGGACAGGCGTGGACTGCAGCACAGTTCGGAAACTGACAAGCTCAGTAATCTCAGGAGACCTCATGATTCCCGGTGCGCTTGTTGCTTCAGCGACTCGTTGTATGAAGTGGCCCGTGGAAGCACGAAGGACATGTACCGAATGGGACCTGTGCCCATATCACCCACATCCTCCTGCTCAGCTTCACTGGACGCGCCGCTACCCGTGCCGCTGTCTGCGCTAACTGGCGCAACCTCTTCCCACGAGAACCTGCAGGGCTTGGCCTTGATGGCACTGCCTGGGTCAACGTTGTGTGACTTGTGGGAACTATGCACGCACTCGGGCGCAAAACTCGGAGAGTCAAAGGCAAAGCTGCTCGGTCTTCTCTGTCTGGGTGCCGCTCGCTCATGGGCATCGATCTGACGTGGAGGACTGAATCTGACGCGACAGCCACCTAGAGGCGCTTGAGACACTCTGACATCCTCGAAATGCACAGTGGGAAGTGCGGGAATTTCGCCATCAGCGCTTTCGCTGCTTTCTCTATCGCTTGGCGGGTCTTCAGCTATCACAGACGGCCTCTCCACCTCTGGATGCGATGCAGCCTTAGCCATCTTAGAATGCACATCCTCCACGGAATGTGCACAAAGTGGCCGTGCTTGTGCCTCGTCTACTGCGCAAGGCACTGGTCCAGCATGCTCGGGGCTGCAGGGGACTGCACATGTGTCGTCTGGAGGGTTCTGGGACACTGAAGAAGCATGCAACGCATGCCCTGCAGTCGCTGCATGCGATGCGACCGATCCAACCGCAGCGAATGCCAAGGCCGCTAGGCTCTGAGCCTCATTCTGGAGGCCTTGGAGGCCCCATTTCTGCAGCGGTACAGATACCGGAGATACTGGTGGAATGCTGGGAGCTTTTGTAGCACGCTGCAAAAAGCTTGCTGTTGGCAAACTGAGACGCCCTGATCGGGGTCTCGAGCTGGGGCTCATGCTCCGGCGGGGTGTCCGGCCTTGAGACGAGTTAGCTCTAGGCACTTCGGGCATTTCGGCCTCGGTTTGAGTGGCCGTGCTCACTGTGCTCACCGTCTTGACTGCCAACTTTGCATTGGAGGCATGGCACCGGGATCGCCTGGCTGCCACCGCTGGCCGGAAAGTGTGCTCTTCAGTCAGCTGGCCGTGGGCCATGTGTGCTCTCCGCTCCTCAGCCTTTGAAATGAGCTCTTGGCGCTGAGCCGCCCAGCTCTTGGCGCTGCAGGAAGCTCGAGCAGCCCATGTTTGGGCCGTTTGGGCCGTTTGGGCCGCCATGCCACCTTTTGTTTCTACTTTGCTGCTAAGGCCGTCTGCTGAAGAGCAAGCCAATCAAGTTACATCACTGGGGTTGGGACACACTGTCTTTTTGATTGCACACTGGCGCTGAAGCACTGAACGCCGAACAGCGACGGAGCCATGCATAGTTGTGTGCAATGGAGTAGTACAGGGTATCTCGTCTTGAACCACACCCTTTTCTGCTTAGCTTTTCATCCATACACACCTGCAAAAACGAATGTCAACTTAACGGTGCAAAATACTTCACACAACTCTGGTGCTGGTGCTACACACTGTGCCACAGCAATGGGGCTTTGGAGAGCTTGGAGTGCTCTGACATGCTCTGACAATGCTCTCGTACTCACAGACGCCACACGAGCCACCAAGAGCCTCAACATGCTCAGCAGCTTCCAAAGCCACATACACAAACTCAAGCCTTCGAGATTCGGCCTACACTGAACTTGGGATCCGCCTCCGGCTTCGAAACTGAGATCGGCTGTTGGAAGCCGCAAGAGATCCTGGCCAAGTATAGCGAAACACCGGCGCGCGGTAGTTTAGGAGGCAGCTCAGCCCTGAGTTTAGCAGCCATCATGACCATTGCTCCTACGCGGATGCTGGGGGCATCGCATCGCCCTTTAGAGGCCAGTTCCCCCTCACTGTGTTCCAGTATGTTCCAGTGCCCCGGCATCTGAAAACCATGACACGACTTATGACAAGTGACAAGTGTGTCAGGCATGGGCTTGCACTTGTCAACTTTTAATGCCACTCACGTGCAGGTGGCTATTTTCTTTGTCATCACTGACAGCACTCTTAGGTTAGAACGTCTTCTTTGATGCTTTCATCCTGGTTGCCTTGTTCGATTCCGTTCTTTGCGGCACGTTTCTGCGCACCAGAAGACGACCACCATAGGAGGGGGATGGGGGGGATTTCCGGGGACAACTGCGTTCTGCCAAGCTCTCCCCTTTCTTCTGTTCTTCGGAGCCTCCCGTGCGGCTGGTGCAATGCTTTTTGACAGCTGTAAAAACGTAGTGTGTAGTGCGGTACGCTGCCAGCCTTTTGCTTCTCTGCATCACTGATGCAGCATGGCAGAAATGCAAGGATCCGGAGCTAGCAGCTCAGACGTGGAGATGCTGACACGAGGCATCCTCTGATCTCTGGTAGACGGCCGCCACCAATGGTCAGCGGCCTTTGGCCAAAGAATTTAGGATTCGGTTAGGTTGTGAGGCAATGGTGAATGCTGATTCAAAAGCATCGCCCGCGTACTGTATGCGCATGGGAATATGATCTTCGCATATTAACAATATGGAACTCTGCATGCATCACACAACGGCTAAATGCACACCGCCGAGGGGGCCAGCATATCAAAGCACATTGCATGGAGGACATGTGGACACCTCTCGTTCTTGCTTTTCTGCTTGAGTTTGAAGCCCAGCCCGTCCCTTTGACCTACCCTGTACTCCGACGCGATCTCGTTAAATCACCGCGCCTCTGCAGCGCCTCGCGCAAGTGAAGCTTTGCTCTTTTTAAGGCTGAGCAGCGCTGTCATCTCGGGCAGCAAGGACCCTTCGAGTCCAAGCGCTCTGCATGCTACATCGGATTTCAGCTGACGTTGTCCGTCAAAGAATATCCTCCACCACACTAGGCAGTCCTTTTTGACTGTCCGTGCCAGCAGCAGCTTCCGCAGCTGTCGGAGCATTGACCACATCCAATCAGGCCAGTGCGAAGGGATTCAACATGCGCTGGACTGGTCGAAAAGCTTGGACGTCGCCCGCGTCACGGGCTTTTTGCAAGCACTTTACGAAGCAGAGATGTGCACTCTTCAAACTGCATACTTTGGAATAGCCGGGCATAGCGCCAAGGCTAGGATAATCCCAGTCATCACCGCAACCAGGCCTCAGCTCAACACGCAGACCATCTGTCACCGCCTCATCCCTTGAGATGCTCACCCAGCCCTGAGTCTACTGGTTTGTGGGTTCAGCCTTGGAATGCTTGGGAGCAGCTGGCAGCAACAAGAATCAGCAGCCAGGCGCTCGCCATGAACCAGTTGAGCCTCGGCTTCTTGTGCCAGACAGATTTCATCATGCCTTTTCTTGGAACCAAACTGCAGCGTTCTCTTGGAAACCCTTGGAACAAACACATTGGCATGGCTGCTCTGAAGCATGCAGACCAGGACATCATTGCGCCCATTCTGTCGGATGTCTTTTTGGCGTCCGTGCTCGGCATCTTCATGGCAGGCAGATAGGGCACGTGCCGGTGCGTTCATATTCGTGCATGTGGTCGGGGCTTGTGACGCTTGCGAACACTCGGTAACGGTCATCTGCCTGGTCTTCCTTTTTGCAAATTGATCTTTAGCAGGTGTCACTTGCGATTTCAAGTGTACGAGTTGCGGTTACCTTTTAGTTAAGAAAGTTAGGGTGCCCTAGTGTTTTGTGCCCAATCTTTTAAAATAATCCCTGCAAATCCCTCCGGCCCATTTCTAAACACCAAAGGAACTTACGCCCCAACCTCTCCCCCCAAGCCTCCACCTTTCCTTGACATGGTCGAAGGCCCAAATACTTGAAACTCAGAAGCCACAGAACCCTCAAACCCTGAATCCCCCCCCCCCCCCCGCGGACCCTGAGCCTTCCTTCACCACCCCCTTAACCCAACAGAACTCCGGCCAGGCCGCGAAACCTTCGGTTTTTGGGCGCCCTGACCTCCAGCCCTCCACTTTGTCTTCTTCGGGGCCTGAAACCTCCAAAATCTGTATTCCGCATGATTCCGCCGCAGGTCTGAAACCTGGATTCCCACAGAAACCCTGGCCTGGCTGGGGGTCAGGTCCCTGAGGCCTGTGTATACATCTATATATATATATATACACATGTATATATATATATATATTTTTTTTTTTTTGATTTGGCCTAGTGGTAAAAGTGTAAGAAATCAAGCCGTCTCTTTTCCTGTCATTCTTGTCTTCCAGTTCCTTCTGGTTCCTCGCTTCACTTTGCCGCGTAGCCAAGAAATTGAAAGACATAACCAGATGAAATAGAATGAAAGGCATACTAAGCAGGAGAACAGGAAAAAACTGGCTTTGAGGGTTAATCCTTGGGAGGATAAAGGCTCGGGAAGAATTAAGCTAGTACCCCAACATTCCTTGACCTGACATACTTTTTTCCGCATAGGTGTTCTACAAGGCCAAAACACCCCACAAGCAATGTAGCTCATCCTTACCTTAAATCCGACAATCCCAACATGGGTTCTACTGTCCATTTGATCCACTGGCTTCTGGGAGATGAGGCTTGAAAGCTGCATGCAATCAGGCTTTCCAGAGGAATCAAGAGCAAAGTAGAAGGAAACAGCTGGAGGACCCCCAGATAAACATCTGCGAACTGTAAAGCTTTATCGAACATCGTGCCTTGAAGCATCCTCTGCCAGGAAGCCCCGTGCGCGACTTTAGCGCTTTGAAGCTCCGGCTGAACTTTGGGGCCAGCGCCACGGCAGCTCCGAGCTGCCTCGCATAATGAGGCTAAATAGCGAGCATGCAAGGTTCGCTGATAATCGCTGATAGTATGGGCATGCGCAACTGGCTAGATGAAGTTGCTGCAGTTTCCATCGATTCGCTGTCACAAGTCAGCAGTCGCCTTATGTAGACTTGCCCGGCGCCAACTTTACTCTGACTCTTATAGCAACAACGACCGTGATTTCAGCCAGGCGTCAGCGGATAACACAACGTGCCGTAGCTTAAATAGACGGCCGTGAAGTAGCCGAGCCTGAGATGTGACAAGCCACAGCACTTTTGCAGAACACCCCATGCCAGCCATGTCTTTGCCATCTGGAGCCGTTGCGTCTCATGGGGAGGTCATCACATGTGCGTGAAGAGTTTATCTAAGCTGGCTTGCACAGGTCCTCTGCTCACTTCCACTACTCCTGTCGCAAGCCAAGTATCGTTGCACCCTTTCGGGCCGAGCCAGAGCCACATGTTTGATTTTCTTGCAGCTTTAACACCCGCCCGCCATTCTAACCTTTGCTTTCATGTTGCCAAGAATGCAAGTAAAGATATCTAAACACATCCTTGTGACAAGCAAAGCTATGTTCACGCTCACTGCTTGTCCGACAGCCTGCTCAAGCCAACCAGAATGTCCATTCAGAAGTCTACGAAGTTGACGTCAGTCTACTGAGCGATGGAACCGCCGCTTGAAAAGGACCCTCATTGGACGTTATTCCTTCATGTAAACCATACTTGATGCAGGTTTCTGCTTCAAGCAAAGTTTGTGCGCTTGACGCAGTCTGGATGTGAAGACTTTGAGGTGCTTCATTCTGTCATGTTGATGCACATTTCTCCTGTCGATTCTGCGCGGTTCACCCTGCACAGGTTTCGAGAACATGTCGTCAGTATGACAGCTGCTGGGACGATAGATTGGTATCTGTTCATCGGCTTCCGGTGCTCCAAAAAATAGCCAAGTGGGTGCACGTCTTTTGCCAGGGAGTTTGGCGCAACTGCCCTATAGGAGGCCTGAATGAAATCCTCAGTGATCGAAGCTAGTCGCGATTGTTGAGACGGTCCACATGGGCCTGAGAAAAGCAGCGATCAGAGGATGCCGAGCCACAGCTTGGTGTCCAGCTGGAAAGGGCACAACGAAAGCGGCCGGCAGCCGTGAGTCCAAACCTCGTTGCGATTTTTTCCAATGTTCCGGGGCTGTGGGAACCAAGAGGCAAAGCCGATTTGCTCCTGACCCTAGAGTCCCTAGAGTCCTAGAGGCAGTGATCTGAATTCCCACGTGTGCATCGAAGATTGGCATGCGCATAGTTCCAGCTCCCCCGAGTTCGCGGCATAGGAAGTGCCACCAAGAACAAGACAAGCGCAAGCATTGAGTCCAAAACAAAGCAGATAGCCTCAGCATGCACACATAGCTGCAACAGTCTGCAACACGTCTTGCTGTGTCCATGCAGCCTGGTGTCGCTGAACCTGTCACCAGTCGCAGCTGAACTGGGTTGGCCAGTTGTTTTAGCCGTGTTAGGGG